CTCTCGTTTGCGATCACAGTTAACAGTTCACTTTTTTTGTTCAAAACGGAATCCGAGTTCGTGTAAAAACATTTTAAAACTTTTTGTGCACTTTCACTTTGATGTATGCGGTTACTCCCTACATTATTTACAGGCCTTAATCTACGGACATCATTCCTACTAATTACTGGTCCTCCATCTCCTCTGACTGTCCTTGAGCAGTTAAGTTAAATTTGCAATGCAAAAACTCATTAATTGTAAAATTGTAGTACGACTCATTGCCGTACTACAATGATAAGTCGAAGGTGTAAAATGAGTCTTACTTATCCCTTCGTTTAGTCATCGAATCTTTGTGCTTAGGTTGGAACCTGTATAATTTATATAACGCTTGAATATAAATTTTTCCATTATCAGACACATTCATAGTGTAGTTAAGAAGTAGTTCATTAATTCACGTCTTGTCGAAGGCCACAGAGTCCTTCTAGCTAATAATTTTCTTATTGTTTTCTCAATTGACATTTTGAATTATTTAAAGTTCGTATACAGTTTGCAAGGGTCATTTAATGCCGAAGATGTTACCGAGAAAAGCTGATTTAATGAATAACTACAAACTTTCTAAATATTGTTTCTATCTAAACCAACTATCCGGTAACGATAACGTGCAAAAAGTGGAAAATGAAGCAACAATAAATGGGTTCAACTATCTTGGGATATAAAACTATGTACAATAAATTCACAGTCTATCATGGAACATAGGCGTCTAAGGCATGTTCAAAGACATGTAACTGATGTAACTCATTAATTATCAGCTTCAATGAGTCTAATTTTAATATGGAATAATTGCAACTCGGGTTCATATTACAGGATATTTGACTCGATTGTATGTAAAACTAATTTCGCTAGCGTCATACACGAATACGACAAAAGTTACGCAGTCAAAAACTAATTTCGCTATCGTATCGTATATACGAATACGACAAAAGTTACGCAGTCAAAAACTAATTTCGCTATCGTATCGTATACACGAATACGATCAAAGTTACGCAGTCAAAAACTAATTTCGCTATCGTATCGTATATACGAATACGGCAAAAGTTACGCAGTCAAATGTCGCAGAATTGAGATTACACCGCACGAAATTAAATACAATTCTCGGAATTTTATATTCAGGTAACACATGAAATAAAAATACTTACAAAATGAGATTTCATGTCAACGGATTTTAACAATAAAACGGATTTCTACAATTCACAAATGGGGTTACACGTCAACGAATATCTAGAGTTTCGGTAAATACAAATTTCCGTGTAAATGTACAATAAATTTGGCCATGACTTCATTATATAATTATAGATAACTTTAAAAAGAAACCATTCACTCGAACAACACACATTAAATGATCTAAACTATAACATGGCAACTGAAAAATAAAATGAGAACATTCGGATGTTTCAGTCATCAAACATGTGCTTCCATCGAAACGGTTCGTACAGCTGTTAAGCTGTACAGCAGTAAACAGCGCTTGAGGCGTAGAAGTACATACGGAAAAGAAAATAAATCATGAATGTCTTTTTCGGCTTACAAAGCATAAATTCTAAAGTATAATAGATACGTCGATGTTCCCTCCCCAGTTAAGATGTTAGTGTGTGTTGCCCGAAACGTTAGTGTTGTGAATTTAATATGTAAAGTGAAGTATGATTTTCATAACAGAAGTACTATTGAAAACTAAAGAAATAATTTGAGAGGAAATATCATCAGATTTAAAGGCCTCGTGAATTACTAAGGTTATATAATCTTCAGTTCATTGTTTGAGAAGCTCACTCCAAAGTACTATAATTAATCACGAAAAAATAAGAACTAATAAGTAGTATAACTTGAATTTATTCATGATAATCAGGTCGTGAAATTTGTTTAAATTTCAGACAAGGTTGCAATTTGCACTGATTTAAGTGGGGATCTCAGCTCAAAGATCCCTGCAGAAAATTACCCTGAAGGCGACAATAATTAATATTATTAGGTAGGCTATAGATCAAGGAGGAATTACATCCATAGAGATTGTTACATATCAACGAAAAATTACCTTCCTTAGAGATTGTTATGAAAGAGATATTACACATTGACCAAAAACTCTCCTAAGTCAACCCGGAAATAAACTTGACTGAACGCGTAGAAACGATTGCTTCGTATGGGAAGAACCGCATTCTCACTCCACACATTATAAGATAACGGTTTTTCAGTTGCTGTATTATCGAGTTAGAAATTCGTGACTCTTTTAGCCAATCACTGTCGGCTATTCGATATAAACCCTCCTATCAGGGACAATGAATAGGCAACTAAATGTACTTAGGCCGCTACGTAAACTTTAACGACTTTCGAAACTACGAACCAAGAACGTTATTATGTTATTCGTACTACGAACGTTAGTTACAAGCTTCAATTCCAATACTACGGTACAACACGGATGAGCGAGACCAGGTAACTACAAAAGGTTATGGTAAAAATAGAGTTTTCTGACAGCAACAACATTTTTATCGTGTACATTATAACGCATGAACTGTACTGTGCATCTGCGATCACCTTTTATAATGGTATTACTACATGAAATATAACCTCTTTCGTACAATATTATTCGTACCTGACCGTTAGAAAGTTCGGGCGGTAAAAGATCATGCCACGCGCGATGTAAAATTTACAAAAACATTCACACGTGAACAATAATTTACGAATTCCCGTTCAACACTTAAGAGAACACGAGGCAAAAAACACAAAAGTTACTTTTCAAACCATTTTGAAAGTGGTAAAACAAAGAACAATTTGCTTAACGATTTTAACGATTTTGCACAATTTTCGAAACACTTTAAACAAAAATACGAGATTTCAAAAAATATTGAGAGATATTAAATTGTCAAATCAAACACTTAAAATTTAAAGGATAATTTCGAAAATTTTACAATTTTGAAGCGCATATAATGAGCACATAGAACTTTACTTTGTACAATGCTCAGCACTCAACGAGAAGACTTCCTGAGATACGGCAAGAGATTGATTGTTATCACAAGCGTCCAGTCTGCAGGCTAACAGTCTGTAGGCTAACAGTCTGTCGCCAGCCAGTCTGCAGGCTAACAGTCTGCAGGCAAACAGTCTGCAGGCAGACAGTCTCCAGCCAGCCAGTCTGCAGGCAGCCAGTCTGCAGGCAGACAGTCTGCAGGCAGACAGTCTGCAGGCAGAGAGTCTGCAGGCAGACAGTCTGCAGGCAGACAGTCTGCAGGCAGACAGTCTGCAGGCAAACAGTCTGCAGCCAGCCAGTCTGCAGGCAGACAGTCTGCAGCCAGCCAGTCTGCAGGCAGCCAGTCTGCAGGCAAACAGTCTGCAGGCAGACAGTCTGCAGGCAGCCAGTCTGCAGGCAGACAGTCTGCAGGCAGACAGTCTGTCACCAGCCAGTCTGCAGGCAGACAGTCTGCAGCCAGCCAGTCTGCAGGCAAACAGTCTGCAGCCAGCCAGTCTGCAGGCAAACAGTCTGTCGCCAGCCAGTCTGCAGGCAAACAGTCTGCAGGCAAACAGTCTGCAGGCAAACAGTCTGCAGGCAGCCAGTCTGCAGGCAAACAGTCTGCAGCCAGACAGTCTGCAGGCAAACAGTTCCAGTCTGCAGGCAAACAGTCTGCAGCCAGCCAGTCTGCAGCCAGCCAGTCTGCAGCCAGCCAGTCTGCAGCCAGCCAGTCTGCAGGCAAACAGTTTGCAGCCAGCCAGTCTGCAGGCACAAACATGTAGGAAATATTCACGCAAAATGCGATTAAAATTCTTAGATTCATCACATACGCTGAGAGCTTTCACAAGATTTGCGCGAGAATAGATTAAAGGTTTCAAGTTCAAACGCACAATTTGTTATATATTGCATTGAGCTTCAAGTTAATAAGGCTATTCAACGCAGATTCACTTACTGGTGCACATCAGTTTTGTTATACAATTGTTCGCCAGAATTTAATTTAAAATTTGAAAGAATACCGTTTTCCTTACCTCACATGGAATAAATATTTTTCGGAAAATCCAAAGTGACTTTAAAATGATGCCAACAGCCTAAAAGGTAAATATCATCACTATTCGATGACATAAGTAAGAAAAAGAATCTCACAATTCTGAGTTTAAGACAATACAGTAGCTAGCCAAACAGTAACAGCAAAAATATTGTTCTGAAATGAACAGAACAATTGAAGAACATACAACCTAGTTGACGGCGTACGCGGTGTTGCTTAAGTAGAGATTAAGTAGATGATAAACTTAGTGATAACACAGCGACTGTAAAGTAAGCGTAAGCAGGCAGAAGCACGGCCAATTTTCCAGCAAAATGCACAGCTAATGCAAAAAAAAATACACAATAAATGTAAAAAAGAAAACAAATGCATCGTAGCAAAATGCACAGCAAAGGCAAAAAAATGCACAGCAAAGGCAAAAAAATGCACAGCAAAGGCAAAAAATTCACAATCAAGGCAAAAAATAAAGAGAAACCAAGAATGTAAGTCTTGCAATAAAGCTTCAGTTCTAGAGACTGTACAGGTTCCAGACATCATTAAAAAACACCTTTGTATTGTTAATATAATACATAAATACTTCAACATTTAAATAAATTGCGCAATTTTTCAGGGAGGATAAAACGTTTAATGTTTTTCCTTCATAATTGAAGATAGACTGACAACATCGGTATGAAAAATATTATTGATATCAACATACATCAACAGCACCAGAAATGTTTGTTGTAAGAGAAGCCTTAATCAATGTTAAAGAAAAACATAAAATTATACAATCTGCTAATCCGGAAAATTATTACATGAAATTTCGAAATAGAGATAAAATAATAAACTGACAGAGACTGAACAAACATAAATGAATTTTTGTTTAAAACTGTCAGAGATAAAACCGTTAGCAAAATACATCAATAAATTTTAGAATAAAATGGCCTTAATAAAAATAAAACAAATTTAAGCCCTTAAGAGCCTGACTTTTGCAACGCTAAGCAATACTGAATTAAAATGCTGTAAATAAATAGCCTAAAAGTAGAAAATACTAAAGCCGGAGCGACCAATAACTCAGGTGACAAATGCCAATTAGGGAAACTTAGCTACAACGTCATCGTCATGTAGCGGAGAATCAGCTACAAATATTGTAGCGGAGAATCAGCTACAAGTACTGTAGCGGAGAATCAGCTACAAGTACTGTAGCGGATAATCAGCTACAAATATTGTAGCTGATATTCCACACGAGGAGGAATGTCTAAAATGAAGCGACAAATAAGAACTCTAGAACTCCGTGCAAGTTTGTCTAAACGCACTCTCATTCACTGCGTTAATAAGTCCGTCTGAACGCACTCTCATTCACTGCGTTAATAAGTCCGACTGAACGCACTCTCATTCACTGCGTTAATTAGCCAACCCATTAATTAGCCAACCCATTGCTTATAACACAGGCATGCCACAATCCGTGCTCAAAAACAGTGTTGATTATATTCACTAAAATGGCACAGGTTTTCCAGTCATATATTCAACATCACTTCCTTCAGTATTTCCAAGATTACGTTTAAAGACCAAACCTGGGGCCGGATTATCAAAACTTCGTAACTTTTTGTACTTACGACAAGAAAGTTCTGTGGTACGTAAATACACCCTAATTTTGGCATTATCAAAACTTTCGTACGCAAGTCTTAGCTAAAAGGCTAATTTTTTCCCCCGCGCAAATTTTTCCGGCGCAAATGTTTATATAATACCACCGCTAGTATTACGTTGTCATAGCAACGCCACTCGTAAGTCGATTTTGCGTACTTACGAAGTTTTAATAATACGGCCCCAGAAACGAATGTCAGAAAAGAACAATTCAACATCACTTCCTTCATTTTTTCCAAGATTACGTTTAAAGACCAAACCAGGTACGAATGTCAGAAAAAGAATAATTCAATATCACTTCCTTCATTATTTCCAAGATTGCGTTTAAAAACAAAACCAGGGACGAATGTCAGAAACGAATACAACGTTCAATTACAATGCAAACATAGCAGATTGTAGAGCGTATGATCTCCAGGACAATAGTGAACGTTACTTTAACTGTTAGCCATTGTAGATATAATTGAGAATCCCTTGCGCTACAATTAACCAATTCGTTATTACAGAGAGAAATGATTCATCAATTAATTATTTAAATAATCATGCATAATTGATTGTTATGATTAAGGTTTCTACGAGGTTTTTAGTTTGTCTTGAGCGGTTCAGTTATAAAAAATATTGCAGAACATGGGCACATGACTGCAGCAGATGTAGCGAGGTTAACAGCAGGTGCACGTGTCTGCAGCAGATGTAGCGAGGTTAACAGCAGGTGCACGTGTCTGCAGCAGATGTAGCGAGGTTAACAGCAGGTGCACGTGTCTGCAGCAGCTGTAGCGAGGTTAACAGCATGTTAACGTTTATAAAATTATCTACTCTAAGCTATACAAGTCACAGTTTATTGCAAGGCTCGTGTCCACGAAACTAACAACAATGTAGGTATGCTTAACATATAAATGGCAACTATTAATGGGATTGAATATTTATTTGCAGCAATCAAAGGTTGTAGGCAAATCGCTACCGCTGCTGTCATAAAGTAAACTAACCTCGGTTTGTTATTAGCAATTACACGAATGAAATCTTAACGATCCTGTTTAGTTTTCAACAAATTCCTAATGCAAATATCCTTGCTAAGTAAATTAAAAACTCCGGAGACGTCAAATATATCTGGATGAATTTATGACACAGACCTCGTACATTTACTTAAAATTTAGAAATAAAATTCTTAAACAGACACTGACTTGAATATTTAAGCATTAGCCATAATCATAAAAATAAATTGGAAATCGAATTCTTTAACCGGAAATTTCGGATATAACTAGATATTTATAATCTTAAACTGAATCTACTGTCATCATGAATCATATCAACAAGCTATCACAAGGTAAACTATCTACAAATATTGTTTTAGTTTACGCACTGGCATGAAAAAAAATTTCAAGGACCCAAAGTCTAAACAATCACAAACTCGCAACCCTTTAAACAACCTACATAGAAACCATTACATAAATTGCAAAATGCAATCATGGACGAGTTAAAAACAAAAATTGCGCTCTCAGGAAGAACTTCATCTCGACCAAAAATTCATTACACTAAAATTAAACTTAAAATGATCGTTAAGAACGCCTAAGATCAATGCCTCGAAGTCCCTAATAATTTAATGAAGGCTTTTAAGAAAAAGCCAGAACGTGAAAACTTACTATAACAGCTAACAGTTCATTGGTTGTGTATCGTAAAATTTACCGTTTGCCTGACACTAATAAGGAAAGAGATTCTACTAAAAGACAGTTATCACCAACTCAAAAAGGGCCCGATCGATCATTCGTAATGCAAGTTTATGAACATAGCTGGTCGTTGATTAGAGCTTTTAACGTCAAATTTTCAAAGTGAAGTTAAGAATCACAACTGTGAAGGCAGAACTATGTACAGAACACCTGGTTTTATTGCTACCCACGCAAGTGGGTTCAGTTTCAGTACTGTTATGGGTCGACTGTACAGCTATTGCAGCATAGCAAGGCAGACACATTATTTGTAATTCATACTATAGTATTTTAACAAAGTTGCTATCGCTCCCATAAGCTCACACTGCATGGCGCACAAAAATGTCACTTATGTGCTGGCATCTACACAATTCCATGAGATTATCAGTTTGCATAAGCAATATACTTCATCATCAGTCAATAAGTGAATCGATGAACAGTCGTGAACACTGAAAATTTTTTACGAGCATCCAATTTCAAACCAACAGAACACGACTGATACCTTAATAAGTTAACAAGATGTCAAACACTATTTCTAAGGCAGGCAGTTCGTCTAATCAAAAGCTCACGAACATTTTGAGAATCTACGCTGAGATTTCATGCTCATTAGAAACTCCTTAAACCCTAGAAGCTCCTGCTAGGATGTCTTGACCAATAACAATCACAAGCTATTGACGATGTCTAATGAAAAACATTTGCTTTAGGCAGTTAAGATCCAACCATCCTATAAAATTCTGCAACTCAGAACATCTTTTCATCAAAGTTTAACCTAATACCCATGCACGCTATAACATTGTCTGTATTCTGTTAGGAGTCCTAGGCAAAGATAGTTTAACCTTTTCACTTTGATAACAGGGGATTTCTACACAAAAAAATGGTCAACTTCAGGATCCAATGCTCGACTCAGGAGACGCTCAGAGGATGTGTGAATTAATCAGCAAATACTGTATATTACCCATTGTCTGATTGCATAGGTATAACTCCATATATGTACTATGTACGATTGTAACGTTAAAATAAAGTGAACTTGAATAAACATAGCTATCAATAGCTTCTCCTAGCGCTGGTCACTAGGAGAAAAAGGTGATAGGAAATTGGGTTATCGCTTGCCCTGTCAGCTTTGTGATAACTTGTGTATTTAACGCTATAACATAAGCTCGTCTAGTTCTCATGATAATTTGAATAAAATTGAACTTGAAATAAAATTGCAAAGCAAAATAAACACGCTGGTTGCTAGGCAGATGACGGTGATCAGAAGTTGTGTTGTCGCTTGCGCTTGTGGTCCATGGCATCAAGGATAGGTTGTCGCTTGGCCTGGTATCGCTGGCGCAGCTCATCAATTTCTTGCTCCATCTCCTGGTCCAGTCGCCCCATCCGCGCCTCCAGCTCTGCGCGGTTCAGGCCCCGCAACTGAAATAGAAATTCACTTGAAGCAAATAGCTATGAACTTCACTCAGAGCATTGAACAAAACTTTATTCAAAATGAGAGAAAATTTGTCCAAAATGACCGAAACTTTGTTCAAAATGACCGAAACTTTGTCCAAAATGACCGAAACTTTGTCCAAAATGACCGAAACTTTGTCCATAATGGGCGAAATTTTGTCCAAAATGAGCAGAACTTTGTCCAAAATGAGCAGAACTTTGTCCAAAATGAGCAGAACTTTGTCCAAAATGAGCAGAACTTTGTCCAAAATGAGCAAAAGTTTGTCCCATTTGCGATGCATTGTCTGTTCTTGGATGGATCACACCAACCCAGTTCGAGGCGTATGTATATAGTTCAAAGAGGCGTAACAATGCAACGACAGCTCGCTGCTTGTGCTGTGGAAAGTAAAAGTGCCAGTTGATTTTCTGACTGTTGAGTAGTTAGTTAAGATTCAACTTCTCAGCCATTGTGCATGTGAAAAAATAAAAAATGTTAACATACGTACGTTATGCTAAAAAAGATAAATACACCGTACGCTGAAAAACATCAAATACAAAATAAGAAATGGCTGGTGATCTCAACACATACGTATGACTCATTATAAAGAACTTTTTATTTTGATACAGTGTTTCAACAAAAATATATTACCAAGAAACAATGAAAACTGCTACTAATAAATTATAAAAATTGCTCAACATTAGCAACCTACTGAACAATAAATATTTATAAGAAAATGATACAAGAGTAACATAACGAAGGACAATGGATTGAAAAAAAAATTTCTCCAAGAAATAATGAAGACTGCTTAAACCTTAACAACCTACTGAAGAATTAATAGGTACTTATGAGAAAATAAAACGCTATCGACATAACGATGAACAATAGACTAAAAAATTTTTCTTGTCTAAGAAATAACGAAAACTGCTTACTATTAACAACCCACAGAACAATTAGAACTTAAAAGAAATAATAAGATATGAACATAACGAAGAGCAATAGTTTAAAAAATTTCTTGTCTAAGAAATAATGAAAACTGCTTAACATTAACAACCCAATGAACGATCAATACTTATAAGAAAATAATGCGATAACAACTTAACGAAGAGCAGCATTAGATTTAATAAAAATTTCTCGTCTAAGAAATAATGAAAACTGCTTTAACATTAACAATTCACTGAACGATTAATACTTATAAGAAATAATACGATATCAACTCAACGAAGAGCAATAGAATAAAAAATAATTAATTAGAAATAATTTAGGCTGACAAATTCGAAGTTGCCCTCGACGAAGGATCGCTGGAAGCGTATTTTTGTATAGGTAGCGTGTAAAATTTTGTATAGGTAGCGTGTAAAATTTTGTATAGGTAGCGGGTAAAATTTTCTATAGGTAGCGTGTAAAATTTTGTATAGGGAGCGTGTAAAATTTTGTATAGGGAGCGTGTAAAATTTTCTATAGGTAGCGTGTAAAATTTAAAAAGAAAGATTAATTCTAAAGAATGAAGACTGACGAATTCGATCGCCCACGACGAAGGATCGCTGGAAGCGTATTTTTGTATAGGTAGCGTGTAAAATTTAGTTTAGGTAGCGTGTAAAATTTAAAAAGAAAGATTAATTCTGAATAATGAAGACTGACGAATTCGAAATCGCCCTCGACGAAAGATCGCTGGAACTTGGCTTGTTTCTCGTGGGCTTGTGGGAGATGACGGGGGGCGGGGGCGGACGCGGGGAGAGGGGGCGCAGCGCCCTCCAGACCCCCACCAGCGGGGGGCTGGAGCTGGTCCAGCTCCCGAGCCAGCTGGCTCTGTAAAACACGCTTGATTAGTTTCATTACATTTAATTATGATAATTTTAAACATCCAACTATGAAAGATTAGTTTCATTACATTAAATTATGATTATTTTAATCATCCAACTATGGAAGATTAGTTTCATTACATTTAATTATGATACTCTTAATCATTCAACTGTGAAAATCCGTTTAATCATGACGTTTTCTTTTTCATCCAACAATGAAAATAAATAACATCATGACACTTTTTCGTGCAACTATGAAATTCCGTACACTCACATGTACATTGAAAACTACCATTTTTACAGGGTAACTTGTCTATTACGGGGTAATTTATATTCCCTATGTCGCATGTCCAGTTGAAAACTACCAATTTGTATGGGGTAACTTGTCTATTACAGGGTAATTTATATTCCCTATGTCGCATGTCCCGTTGAAAAGTACCAATTTGCATAGGGTAACTTTTGGTAATTTATATTCCATATGTCGCATGTCCAGTTTAAATCGACCAATTTGTATAGGGTAACTTTTCTGTCACAGGGTAATTTACATTCCCTATGTTTCATGTCCCGTTGAAAACTACCAATTTGTATAGGGTAACTCTTCTATTACAGGATAACTTATATTCCCTATATCGCATGTCTAGTTGAAAACTACCACTTTGTATAGGGTAACTTTTCTATCACAAGGTAATTTATAATCCCTATGTCGCATGTCCCGTTGAAAACTACAATTTTTTACAGGGTAACTATTCTATTACAGGGTAATTTATATTCCCTATGTCGCATGTCCAGCTGAAAACAACCATTTTGTATAGGGTAACTTTTCTATCACAGGGTAATTTATATTCCCTATGTCGCATGTCAAGTTGAAAACTACCATTTTGTATAGGGTAACTTTTCTATCACAGGGTAATTTATAATCCCTATGTCGCATGTCCAGTTGAAAACGACCATTTTTTATAGGGTAACTTGTCTATCACAGGGTAATTTATATTCCGTAAATAAGGATCAAGGAACCTCGAAAAGGATTACCTAAGGATTAACGTACCTCGAAAAGTTTCTGCTCCTGTGGTGAGAGTTCCTTGGGCTGACTGGAGGCACCACAGTTTGGTGATGTGTAGACGGTGGTGCCGTACTGTGGTGGTGCTTGTAGTCCTTGTGGTGAACCTGGCGTCACCACCGGTGATGATGGTGCTAGTCGTGCATCACTCACCTGCACAAATGAAATACTTATTAAAAACTGTTGAACGGAAGTTCAGCCAAAAAAATTCGTTAAGAATTCAGTGGGCTGGAAGTTCAGCCCCGAAAAAATCGTTATAAATGCCCGAAAAAATCGTTATAAATGCCAAAAAAATCGTTATAAATGTCCAAAAAATTCGTTATAAATTTAGTGGGCTGGAAGTTCAGCCCAAAAAAAAAATTCGTTATAAATGCCCAAAAAATTCGTTATAAATTCAGTGGGCTGGAAGTTCAGCCAAAAAAATTCGCTATGAACACAGTGTGCTGGAAGTTCAGCCCAAAAAAATTAGTTATAAATGCCCAAAAATATTCGTTATAAATTCAGTGAACTGGAAGTTCGGCACAAATAAAATTCGTTATAAATTCAGGGGCCTGGAAGTTCAGTACAAACAGAATCCATTATGAACTTATTTGACTGGAGGTTGACACGATTATAGGAATGATGCAAGCTCATACATAAATGACTTACCAAGACAGCAGAGTCAAGTCTCAAGTATACTTATCACAAAATCTTAATCAAGCACTTCCATAAAATAATATAATACGATACATTTATAACGTTACACGCTGGCGACCGCATTAAATGTAATTCAGACACGACTGGAAATTAACCATCTAAATTCATACAGCGACTGTCATGCATCATGATGTACAATCAGACTTGCGGGTACCTGAACTTACATCCACGGCTAATTTTCCAAGTATAAATTAGTGAAGAAAACGGCTAATTTATCGGGCATAAATTAGGGAAGAAAACGGCTAATTTTCCGGGTATAAATTAGGGAAGAAAACGGCTAATTTTCCGAGCATAAATTAGGGAGATACTCAATGCAGACCCTGAATTAGGGAGATACTCAATGCAGACCCTGAATTAAGGAGATATTCAATGCAGACCCTGAATTAGGGAGATACTCAATGCAGACCCAGACCTGAGCGAGGAGGTTGGGTCTGGCGGTGTCGCTGTGAGGCAGCAGGGTCGGGAGGAGGGGGCTGCTGGGGGACACGTCGTCATGAGGGCCTCCCTTACCAGCCTCCCGCTCCTGCAAACAAACTTACTATTATTATTAGTATTAATACAACTTTTATTATAATACCATGAAGCTATAATCGTGACGACTGGAAGGCATGGGCACTTATTCGTCCGACAATCATACCTAACCTATTCATCTACATCATCGTAGATAGTACCTAACCTATTTATAAACCTAAACCTAATACCTATATATACCTAACCAATTTTTAATGTCATCATAGATGCCTAAACTATTTACCTATATACCTAAACCTATTTATGCCTAACCTATTTCTACGTTATCTTAGATAACGTAACCTATATCTACATCTGTTGCCAGCCTTGTCACGAGCTCAGTTGCTGGCTGATGGCTCCTTGCTAAAAGTCAACACGTCAAATGTACCACGACAAGCCACAATATAGAGAATATAATTGACTGAAATGTCTTTCATTAACTTTTAATGAAATAAATAAATTGACTATCGCCTTGACTATCTGGGACATTTGTATGATAAGCTGGTCCCATAACTTATTGGAAATTAGTGTAAACAATATTAAAAACCGACGAAGAGCGAACTGGGAAGCATTCTTCACACTAAAAATCTGCAGTAAAAAAAAGGCAGGATAGGCTGCTGAAGGCGAATCTCCAGTAAAAAGAAATCAGGGAAGGTTATAGGTGAAGGCAAATCTCCAGTACAAAGGTAAGGAAGTCTGCCGGTGAAGGCAAATCTCCAGTAAAAAGAAGGCAGGGGAGGCTGCAGGTGAAGGCAAATCTCCAGTTAAAAGAAGGCAGGGGAGGCTGCAGGTGAAGGCCAGCGTACCTTCTTCTGCTGCTCCTTCTTATCAAAGTGGTCGAGGAACAGCGGCCTGTACTTGCGACTCTCACCGGGCGCTGTGTCGTGTCCTGAAAATAAATGCCATTAAATATTAATAAAAACCTATTAAAATTATCAGTCAAAATGAATTCAGTATCAATATTATCACTATTCATAATTTCCGTAAGTATTAGCAAACTTTTACATCACAATGACGGAAACTGAAGGGTGGATATATAGGAGAAATTATAGCAGCTATTTATCTTAGGTGTAAAATTCTGCTTTATAATATACAATTTTTGACACATTGCTATCAGCTTGTTAACAGAAAAGCTGATAAGAAACTAAACGATTTTTACCGAAATTTAATACAATTAAACTTACACTTCCCATTGCGCAATCATTCTGTTGCTATTAAGGAAATTCAAGATATACCGTAACTACAACTATTAATAGAAAAATTTCAAACCCGTTAATATATCACTTAGAGTTGACAATTTTGTTTGAAGTTCACTTTTCAAAAATGGAACCATAAATTGCAGTAAAACTCCGTACTATTCACGGTGGAGCCTCTCAGTTAATTTAAGAGTTACTTGGAGAATTTGGGTTAAATTTAACCTTTCAAAATAGGAAACATTAAATTTCTTTAAAAGGACAGTACTTTTCATAAATGAAATATTTAAATGAAATAAATAAACAAAAAGCGACGCACTTTTCATGGTGGAGTCCTCATCTTCATCCTCAGGGTCCGAGTTGATGACCATTGTTCCGAGGTCCTGCCCCAGCGTCGAGCCAGAGTCGTCCTGGGCGTCTCCATTCTTCGTCAACGTGCCTGAGATCAATACCAACTCTTCAGATTTGAATAACAAACATGAATGAAAAAAACATGCTGTGGTGCATGAATGAAAACATGATGTGATGTATGAATGAAAAAATGCTGTGATGCATTAATGAAAAAATGTTGTGATACATTAATGAAAAAATGTTGTGATACTGTGATACATGAATGAAACCATACTGTTATGTATGAATGAAACCATAGGTATTGTGATGCATGAATGAAAAAATACTTTGGTGTATGAATGAAAACATGTTGTGATGCATGGATGAAAAATGCTGTGGGGCATGAATGAAAACATACTGTGATGCATGAATGAAAAAATGATGTGATGCATGAATGAAAAAATGCTGTGATGTATGAATGAAAACATGCAGTGGTGCATGAATGAAGATATGCTGTGGTGCATGAATGAAAAAATGCTGTGATGCATGAATGAAGATGTGCTGTGGTGCATGAATGAAGATGTACTGTGAAGCCTCAATGAAAAAATGCTGTGATGCATGAATGAAAACATATACTAGTACGGCATATTGTGTGATGCCCCGACCAAAATGGCCCCCATGATAACCCCGACCAAGGTAGCTCATTGGTTACAGATTAGAGTACCTACCAAGATTAGAGTAGTGAGTTGCAGGTTCGAAAACATGGCAGGCTGTAAAAATTCTATGTCTAGAATCAGAGACAGACCATATTTAGCCAATTCAACGGCGCCACCACTATATATAAGGACAACACACTGTGATGTAGAGTTGAAAACATACTGTGTTGATTGAATGAATTGTTCAACAGTATGAATTAGAAACGAACCTGCCCAAAAAATATTTAATTGATAACATGGAATCGAGGGATATTATTCGAGTTTTGAAAAATGTAGGGATTTTTGATGAGCGCGAAAAAATTCAAGGTATGTAAAATCTTTTACCAATATCGAGAGTATAAAATATATTTTTTTTAATATAGAAGACAATATTGGAGAAATTCGACGGATGTTCATGAAAATGTCGACTTCAGGAATTCATTGGCAATCAGCAAGCAGCTCAAATTAAAGCAATGAAAATCTATCAAGGACATGAAATACTTACCAAAAAATAGGAAAAGACATAAAGACTTCAGCAGAAACAATGAAAATTACTCAGTAAGGTCATACATACTCTAAATAATCGACCAAGGTAATAAGTTCTCAAATAACTAATCGAGGAAATAATTGATCAAGGAAATAATTGATCAAGGAAATAGTTGATCAAAGAAATAATTGATCAAGGAAATAATTGATCAAGCAAATAATTGATCAAAGAAATAATTGATCAAGGAAATAATTTATCAAGGAAATAATTGATCAAGCAAATAGTTGATCAAGGAAATAATTAATCAAGCAAATAATTGATCAAAGAAATAATTGATCAAGGAAATAATTTATCAAGGAAATAATTGATCAAAGAAATAATTGACCAAGGCAATAAATTCTAAAAAAAAACGACCAAGGAATCAATTGCTCTCAAATAACCGACCATAATAAACATTCAAATAAGCGACCAGGGGCCATACTTTCAAAACTCGCTAAGTGAACGTAAGTACTTACGCTCTATTTTCTTGTCTATGATTGGTGGATTTTGCTTGAAAGACGTCAATGATTGGCTGATGAACTTACGATCTCTTAACTTTTTTGAAGGTACAGGTCCAGAACAATAAATATTCCAATAACCGACAAAGACAATAAATATTCAACCGACCAAGGCAATAAATATTCAACCAACCAAGGCAATAAATATTAAACCGACCATGACAATACATATTCAAACAAGCGACCAGGCTATCAACAATTATATTTCGATGCGTTAGTACCACCTCCTCTGTCGTCCTGATGGATTCAAATGAGCGACCAGACAATAAATACCTATACAAATAAGCGACCAGACAATCAATATCTATACAGATTTCTATGTGCTGGTACCTCCTCTGTCGTCCTGATGGTAGTGCGTGGCACCAAAACAATAAATATTCAAACAACCGACCAAGCATTAAATATTCATATAACCGACCATAATAAACATTCAAACAACCGACCAGGCCGTCAATAAACATATTTCTTAGCGTTAGTACCACCTCCTCTGTCGTCCTGATGGTAGTGTGTGGCACCATGTCTGGGAGGCACCAGAGTGCCACCAGCCTCCTTCAGAGTGCCGTCTTGTGCGTCAGGTTTGAGCGTCGCCTCGATGCTGCTGTAGCGAACCATCGTGTTGCAGTCTACGTCGTCCTCCTCCCCGCTCTGCACATAGAATTTCCTTTAAATAATTCATTTACTTAAATATTTATTACATATTTCAAATTATTATTATTATTCTTATTTATTATATTTAAATATTCCTCTTATTTTATATAAAGGAGCTCAGTTTTTAGGCGGCAATCTTCAATACCTGCGCAATTTCTCACGTTTTCTTACATTCAAACTCAGTTTTCGTTTTTTCCTAGACACTTATGATTTTCTTAGAATGTTCCTTGCAAAAGTTCAACATTAGTTTCATCTTTATTTGTAATTCAACTCCATCTCTGCAGAAATATTTCAAGAAGGCATCGATTTTGCATCAGATGAGGAAAAAGTGCCTAGAAAGAACACATTTCGAGTTTGGATAACAAATTCCATCTCCTTCATCAAGCTGGACAAGAAGCAATAAATTTTTCTAATGATGATCTAAAAGTGCAAAAAATGTAGTAAGTGAGACAAGGAGAAAAACTGAAATAGAAAATTAAACCAATATTCTTGCTGTGCAAATGTGTTCAAGGTTGGACAATTGTAATAGGAGAACGAATCTCATTAATTATGACTCTGAATACGTACAATGTACCTCTGATTAATGAGTTATAATGATTCATTTGATTATTATTGTCACTTCAGGGTAAAACAAATCATTGCACATAATGAAGAGAATGACAGAAAGATCCAAACAGGAAATGTAGCATTACAAATGTAGTCTATACAAACATATGTAGATTATTTGACAGCATAAAATGGCAGAATTCGTTCAATTACACAAGACTTACGGTATCTCGTGTAATCTAGCTACAAAATATTCATTTTGAGTAAGTTGAAAATGGATCTTTTAACATTCGAAAAGTTGTTAATAAAAATAAATATCTTTGCTAACCTGCATTTCAGTCACACAACAACGAAAAAACAATCTCGACTTACAGGAAAAACGAGCAATAAAATTATTTTCGAAATGCTTTCTCCGGTTACCAATCAAACTGTAATAATTTTATGATAGATCAATAATATTATAAAATCAGTAATCAAACTCACGGGCATTTGTACGGGCGTGTGATGCATGTGGTTATGGTAGTTATTTATACCCTCTTTATTGCTGCTGCTGTTGCTGCTGCAGCTGTTCAGAGACAGGCTGACAGGGCCCATGTTTCTGTTGCCCTGTGAAATAAAAGTAGGTGTAAGTTAAGGATTAATATGTAATAATTATATTAAAAATTGAAAACTCTGTAAGAATTTTATTACTGTATAGATCTTCTTTCCCATGATTAGCTCTTGACTCGAAGCAGCTAGGCCTATTTAAATGACAAAGCTAGGCATAATATTATGCATAATATCATCCATCATCTTGGTACGTGGTTAGACACTGTCTGGCGTGATAGTCAACAAGGACATATTCGACACAGAGATGCAAAATGATATAGAGTTGTTGGACAATTAACATAAATAAATAAAAAGCTGTTCTTTATTTTGTGGAATACATTTATAAACTTTAATCCATTACGGACAGGAAGATTTGTGAGATTTAAAAAGTAGGTAAACATTGGGTTCTCCTCCACTGAACATAGCAATAAATAATACGCTGACTGACGAGCGTGTTTGGCAGCCCTGTTGCTGTTTTAAGGTTGTCGTACACTAGACATAGCAATAAACAATAGGGAGCCTGACGTACGTGTCTGGCAGCACTGAGCTGTTATGAACAACAGGTGTCGTACACTAAACATAGCAATAAACAATATGCTGCCTGACGTACGTGTCTGGCGGCACTGAGCTGTTATGAACAACAAGTTGTCGTACACTAAACACAGCAATAAACAATATGCTGCCTGACGTACGTGTCTGGCGGCACTGAGCTGTTATGAACAACAAGTTATCGTACACTAGACACAGCAATAAACAATATGCTGCCTGACGTACGTGTCTGGCGGCACTGAGCTGTTATGAACAACAGGTTGTCGTACACAAAACACAGCAATAAACAATAGGCTGCCTGCCGTACGTGTCTGGCAGCACTGAGCTGTTATGAACAACAGGTTGTCGTACACTAAACATAGCAGTAAACAATAGGCTGCCTGACGTACGTGTCTGGCGGCATTGAGCTGTTTGCTTGCGAGTTGTCTGTCCCTGAGGGCCCTGGCCTCCTCGATGATGGGCCTGAGGACGGTGGGAGGCTTGGCCGCCAGGATGAAGGGATGCTGCAGTAATTCCGTCGCGGTCGCTCGCTCCTCAGGGTTCTTTACTAAACATCTGGCAAGAGGAACGATATTAATTTGCAAAATTATTATTACTATTATCAGGATGCCACTTATAAGTCACGATACAGGATTATTTTATAGACTAGTTGACTGCATCATCCATCAATTTACCTTGAAACAGTCAATAAAGTCAGGCTGCCATTTATCAGTGATGATACAGGATTATTCTACTAGTTGACTGCATGACTGCATCTTTCATCAATTTACCTTGAAACAAAGTCAATAAAGTCTGGATGCCACTTATCAGTCATGATACAGGATTATTCCATAGACTAGTTGACTGCATCTTTCATCACTTTACCTTGAAACAAAGTCAATAAAGTCAGGCTGCCAATTATCAGTCATGATACAGGATTATTCTATAGACTAGTTGACTGCATCTTTCATCACTTTACCTTGAAACAAAGTCAATAAAGTCAGGCTGCCAATTATCAGTCATGATACAGGATTATTCTATAGACTAGTTGACTGCATCTTTCATCACTTTACCTTGAAACAAAGTCAATGAAGTCAGGCTGCCACTTGTCGGGCTCCCGGAATGACGGGGGAGGTTTGGTGGGGATCATGAAGATGGCGCGCATGGGGTGGATGTCGCCATAGGGTGGCTTGCCCTCAGCCATCTCCAGGGCAGTAATGCCTGCAAATATATTCATTGACATGTAGGTAATGGATGTATTGATTGTAATTTTAATTGAATTTATAATTTAAGGCTCACGTTTGTTGTGTCATGTTGATTGACATGTAATTGACATATTTATTAACATTTAAATTACTAATTGATTAAGATGTTATTGACTCATTGGTCGAGATATACCTACCTAATGGACAAATTGACTGACATGAAATTGGCATATGGTATTTATTAAAATTTAAATTACAAACTGATTAAGATGTAATTGACTCATTGATTAAAATATTAAAGACAAATTGATTAACACGTAAATGATATACTGGTTAACACATAAATTACATGATGCTTGACATGTAAATGACATGTTGATGAATGTGCAAAGGACTTATTGGTTGATATGAAAATGACTTAATAGGTAATCAGAGGGACGTTTGTTTGATGCACAAGCCATGTCTGTCTAATTATCCTAAAAATACTGATAACAATAATTTAATTGAGATAAATTAATTTTTTTAGCATTCAATCTCAACCTGACAGCAATTTTACAGATGGGCACATAAAAACAAGATTGGAATTTACCTATGTTAATTCATCTATCATAAGAATCAAAATAAATTTGAAACCTGACTCTTGATTGATTTACACAAATTAGCTATCACGATTCAGTTTAGGTATAAATATATTTATAAAATAAGTCATTACCTAAACTCCAAATGTCTGCTACGCAATCATAGCCAATTTCTTGTATGACCTCCGGTGCCATCCAGAATGGTGTTCCAATAACAGTGTTTCGTTTTGCCATTGTGTCCTGTGATAAAAAGATTTCAGTCCTGAATAAAGTTAGTCAATTATGGTAACATTTATAAATTCAATGAATACACAGATGTGCATATAGGTACATGGAATCGACATATTTTACACACACACATAGGCATATAGAGGGTTAAATGGTAACATCAAAAACAGTTATAAATCAGAAGCAATTTGTATTTTGAAATGAAAGCAAGAACAAAATTTGGAGTTGGGAAGCTAAGAGCACCAGAGAATAATATACCTACCTAGCTTCTTCAATTAAACTTCTTCTTACTTGGTGTAATTTCATGGATTGCAACCCACTTTTCTTTTAGAAAACATTTTCTTATAAGTCAATAGAAAAATTTGAGTGTGATCAGGCAAAAATGTTCCTCAAAAAAAAAAAAAAGGCCAAATGTTACTCACAGACAACTGCCCCGCCACTCCAAAGTCAGCCAGTTTAGCATGACCCTGAGAATTGAGGAGTATATTCCCGGCTTTGATATCCCTGTGTATTTTTCTTCTTATATGAAGATACTCAAGTCCGTGTAGAGTTGCTAACACAACGGCACTAATTTCCACTTCTGTTAACGTCTTTTTCCGGAGCTTCATAATATCCGAGACTGATCCAGCACCACAATATTCCATGACAATCTGTAAATCATTCAATAGGTTTTAAGATTCACAAGAAATGAAAAAATATAGACATTAGAAGCAGATGGAAAGTTCAAAAATTCAAGGAACTGTTGGGAACAAGATGGTGACACATGTTTAATGAAGTTTAGATAACATTGAAGAATAATATTTTTTCTGGTTTGCTGTAATGAAAGTCATACTGCAGCAGTACGTAGCAATCAAGGTCACAAATGATAGAGAGGCTGTTTGTAGGCTTCAATGAAGCAATTAAGTTTTAATCTTACTTATTTAGCTTTGCAGCTTCACTGACCATCAAATAACTGTAAGAAATATTAAATGATAAAGATGAAAAATGTCTTCTAATAAATGGTACAGTGAATATGAACAAGGATAAGCAATTTTTTATTTTCTGAACCACAATTTCATAAAAATGCAATTTATAGTAAATGAGCTTAGCTCCATAGAAGAACATACAGTACTTCTTAAAACATTTTAGATGAATGTACATTGAAATAAATTCATGTAAATGTTACAGTGTACAAGCACTTACGTACCCATAAATCAGAGTCCTTGAAATATGATCCGTAATATTTGACAACATATGGAGAATCGCATTGCTGCATGATAGAAATTTCCTTGATGATTTCTTGTAAGTCAGTGTCAATTGGCACCTGCTTTATGGCTAAAACCTGTCCACTCTCTTTGTGAAGAGCTTTGAAGACTGATCCATATGACCTGTTCACAAAAACACATAGCATGATTACATAAAATGTGTAAAAAACTATTAGCTGCAATAAAGTTGATAGAGTAGTAGCAGCAATATATTTCTTCACATGACTTTTGCTACCCGAACTGAAATACATATGCCATGACAGTAAACTCTAGAAATAAAAGGACCTAAAAAAGATAATTTTACATAAGCATAGACATTTTATTGCTAAATACGGAGTGCAACAATAAATGAGATATCTACCTAATTGATCAAATAATTAAATATGTACCAGTATACCACAAACATGAACAACTTAATAAGAGAATTTCAAAACATCTGTAAGAGACAGTATTAATCTTATTTATTTTATTTTTTTAATTTTCAATGATGAAGGGGAGACATTGAGGACAAGATTGAAATAAATTCTATCACAATCAAAAGTAAATTTAATTATCAAGTCAATTTTAATGTAACAAGAAATCTGTGTTCAAAATTTGGTGGATAGAGACACAATCATTATAAGCTGGAATTGCATAATAAAAAACCTAATTTACAACTCATAATTATTTCAGATATTCTTCAAGACTAAAGAACTCAACTCTTCACAGCTAAATTGTATTGCTATATATTAACTGTATTCATTGTTGATCAAGTGGCATTACTTACCCTTCTCCCAATTTACAAATGATATCAAACACTTCCTCTGGCTGCCGCATGAGAGACTCCTCGCTGAGCTTAACCAACTCTCTGTAAAAAAACATAATTTAAAAAAACAATAAAATAGTCTCCATAATAATAAAATAGGCTCTATAGTGGGGGTTTCTTATAAAAATGAGACCGGGGAACCACAACAACAACAATAATAAAATAGTTAGGTACTACCGGTACCGTACCTTTTGTAACACAGCCTACACAGGCTACACATGAGATATCATGTTTCGATGTTTGATTAAATCCATGTTTAATCTTTGAAAATGTTGTCTGTGGAATTTTTTGTACAACCTATTTTTATGAATGTAGCAATCGGAGGCAGTACATATGATGAAAAAATTTTCATTATTCTACAGGTGGTGATTTTATCAATCCAACCTTTACATCTCCATATTCAAGGCTGAAATTAAAAAATAAAGACTGTAAGGATTTGTTACAATATATTTTATGTTTGTCACATAACAGACGTAAAAATTTTAATGTAAAAAATACACAAAAATACTAATAAAAAGTTTGCAACCTCACATTTTTGAAATTTCACAAGCAATATATTAAAAAATATTTAAAATATATTAATTAAAAATATGATACATCACTTACCCATTTTCATTCTGCTCCTCACTGTGCTTGAAGATTTCACTGAAAAATCAAATGAATTTAATTATTAACTTAAAACAAGAAGTAGAAAATTCATGATACTGGTACTTGATACATTGTGCTGTGATCTTGCTATACTTATAAGAGATGTTAATGATAATAGTTACAATTAAAAGTATTCAACTCAAGAAATCAGTACCATCAAATGGGGTAATAAGGGACTGGCAGGGTAAATCAGGACAGTCCTCCATCATAGCATAAAAATGTTACTGTCCAACGGGGAAATAAGGGAGGGGTGGGTAAATCGGAACAATCGTCCCACATTTCACAGAAATGTTACAGCAGTTAAACTAATCAATTAAGGGGAGCGTCTAGGGTAAAATTTATCTCGGCTATTTACGAACGGATCACTCTGAAACTTGGTACCGTAAAATGGGGTAACTTAGACCACTTTTTTTTCTATAAATGATGCCATTTTTTTACTAGCTAAATTAAACTTGAATTGAAACATGCAAAATACAGATCTATACTCTAGCTTCACTCACCATAAATTGCTGGCTCCTGCCTTTCATAGTCTTTATGTAATTTCAAAAAAAGTGATGGTCTTTGTTACCCCAGCTCTTGGGGTAACTTAGACCGGGTGGTAAAATCAATTATATTTTTTGGTAAAATAACTCTAAATAACTCCAGGTTTTGGTTAATGGTATATGTCTCATTGTTGTAGCTTAAAAACTCTAGGAGGAGATAGGTTTGCAGTGACAATAAGTTAACTTTTCAGTAGAGCCCGTCAAAGTCCCGTGCGCATCGGAATAGGCACTCAATGTAGCAAGGATACAAAACTAAACATTACTGGAGCTTGATTCCAGTCAAGGATGGTGGGAGCGACTGCATGCACACCTCCTCATATGACGCTAGGCGGGTAACTAAGGTGCACTTCAAGCAGACACTCTATTTAAAGTGCTCGCAGCGAATTTCCTCCCATTCTATTTGTTAAAGAACTACCTCACCCCCCTCCCTTTCATGATCTGTCGTGAACGCATAAATCAACGTACAGAGATGGTTTTGGTACCGTTGGATAGATCAGAATGTCAGCTTTAAGACGAGATTAAAAACCAGAAAAGCCGAAATCCAAAATTTTACCCTAGACGCTCCCCTTAATGCAAAACTAGAAATAGTGGCATAAAGTCCAACATTTTTACTATCCATTGTTAGGGAATTAGAATTTAGTATGTTATAATTTTGTATTTTTGTAATTTTAGTTTTCAGTTTAGAAATGCGGAAGTTAGATTTGTAGGCTTTAGTCCGTCCTGGTCAGTCCCGCATGTGAACCCACAGTGTCAAGGTGTGTTTTAACTTTGTTATTTGTTTGTTCATGTGTTTTACATTTTCTGATTATTCCGAGATGTTCTTTATTCTGTTATATTCTGTAAAGTTAGATTAGATTATTCATGAGAAGGTTTGTTCATACTTTGTCTTTTGTTCGTTTATTTGTTACTTAGGTTATTTATTTTGTTCTTTTTCTTTAGGAGAGTTTTTGAAACTACAGATTTCAAGAGAGTGGTTTCGGAAGTGTCTTCCATTGCAAGCCTTTGTTGGGGTCCACGTTAAAGTACTATAAGTACGGCTGGACGAACCTGGGTGACCCCAGCATAATTGGTGCCGTAGCAAGAAGCAAAAATTAAGAAATCATTCATTTGCAATCTCTAAAAAATCCATGAAAAAATGTGTGAAAAGTGAAAAAAAGTGAAAAGTACCTCTGCTATGGTCTGCAGCAAAAAAAAAAAAAGATTCAGTGTATAAAAAAAATTTGCATACCCTCCAATGGGGTAATAAGGGACGGTTTAGAGCATTTTTTTGTTAATAACTTCTTACCGTGAAATATTTCATAAACACATTTGGTCTCATTTTAAAGCTCTTTGCAAGAACTACCTACCGTCAACCAGGGCTACGTACTTGGGATGGGCGGGGTAACTCAGGACAGTCCTCCAACACAGCTTAAGACTGTTTTAGTAGCAAAACTAATTGGAATATTGCAAAACTAAATTTAGTGACATAAACATCAACATTTTTCCTACCGGTATCTATGTAGTATAAAGGAAGTTCAAAAATACTACATTTACTAGCTTTGAAAAATTCATGAAAAAAATGGTGAAAAACAATATTTTGAAAAGTTACTTCTGCTAAGGTTTGTAGTAAAAACAATATTCACCATGTTTTTACCAAATTTTACTTACATAAAAGTTGCACCCAGGTGTCGGCTTGAAAACGTAATTGACAGATTTTGCCTATCTCATTCCAAAAAAAATGGTGGTCATTTCGGCACGGCGGGGCTACTCGGGACACCCCCCCCCAGGGCTATTTGGGACACCCCCAAAAACCAAATTTCAGTAGAACCTCAGTTAGCAAAGGCTCCAGTTAAGAAAAAAATTGATTAAAAACAAAGAATATTGATTACATTTACCTTGCTCAGCAAAAAAAATTTCACCTATCAAAAAATTAGTGCATCATCAGTCATCACAAAATTGTGCATAGAATGTCATATATATATAGAATTGTGCACCAGGCATCATAGAATGAAAAGTAATTGACCTAAACTATGATTTATTTCTCCAAAACATACGATTGTTGTCAACTTGTCACTAAAACATTCCTTTCTGTTTCAGGTATGTTTTTCACGATCTTTTTTTATACCATCAACCGGGGCTACTACTCGGGACGATTTTGAACGTCTTTCATTCATAACTTCTTACCATGAAACATTTCATAAACAAGTTTAACCTCATTTCAAAGCTCTTTGCAAGGGCTATCACATGGCTTTTCCAAAAAAATTCCATATGCTATTCGTAAGGTGCCAGAAGCAAAAAAAGAGTGTTTCGAGTAGCCCGTTCGACGGGGCTACTCGGGACACTTGGAGTAAAACTTCATTTTAAAACATTTGAAGCATGCAGAGTGTACTCATCCATTACTAACAGTACTCTGAAGTCCTCCTCTTTCATTGTAGATGATATAGAAGTAGAATAAATAACATTTTCTGTGATTTTTACTTCTTTTTAATTTATCGATATGATATTACCATATACGTACATTAATTACCGTATTATTGATGCAATATTACCGTATCCATGAACATGCCATTGAGCATTTACAACAACCTTGCCCACTGCAAGCTTCATATCAGCAGCCTTATACCTACCATTTTTTCTGTATCTGCAAGCTTACAGGACGGCTTGTAATATAAGATAATGATAAATTTTAAGGATAAATTTAATCAAATAAATTGAGATAAATTTAATTTAATTGTTTTTTTTTTGTTAACTGGAGCCTTTGCTAACAGAGGTTCTACTGTAAATGTGTTTTTAGGGGTATCCTTTTTTTACCTCACGGGGGTGTCCCTAAATCCTAATTACCGTCAACCGGGGCTACTCGGGACAAGCGGGGCTACTCGGGACAGGCCTCCGACACGTCGTAAAACTGTTGTAGTAGCAAAACTAATTGGAATATTGCAAAACTAAAAATAGTGGCGTAAACGTCAACATTTTTCCTATCTATGTAGTATATAGGAAGTTGAAAAAATACTACATTTAATTGCTTTGAAAAATTCCTGAAAAAATGGTGAAAAACTATATTTTGTAAAGTTACAACTGCTAAGGTATGTAGCAAAAAAAATATTCGCCGTATTAAAAAATTTTACTTACATAAAAGTTGCACCCAGGTGTCCGCTTGAAAATGTAATTGACAGAATTTGCCTATCTCATTCCAAAAAGAAATGGCAGCCATTTCCGCACGGCGGGGCTACTCGGGACACCCCCCTGGGGCTATTAGGGACACCCCCAAAAACGCATTTACGGTAGAACCTCAGTTAGCAAAGGCTCCAGTTAAGAACAAATTGATTAAAAACAAAGAATATTGATTACATTTACCTCGCTGAGCGAAAAAAAGTTCACTTATCGTCACACAAATTACAAGCTGTCCTGTAAGCTTACAGATACAGAAAAAAATGCTATAAGGCTGCTGATATGAAGCTTGCAGTGAACAAGGTTGTTGTAAATGCTCAATGACATGTTCATGGATATGGTAATATCACATCAATAATACAGTAATATCCCATCAATAATAGGGTACTGTCAACTGGGGGATTGGGCTGCATTCATAATGATGGCCAAAGCGGGGTCATAAACAGTCATAAACAATGGCCAAAGTCACTCTGGCATTTATAACCTGGTTTACAACCCTGGTGTTTATGACCCCGGCGTTTACGACCCCGCGTTTATGACCCCAGCATGAATCAAAAACATGGCCCAAGTCACCCCAGTTGATGGTAATTAATGTTTATGGTAATATCATATCAATAAAGGAAAAACAAGTAAAAATCACAGAAAATGTCATTTATTCTACCTCTACATCTTCTACAATAAAAGAGGAGGACTTCAGAGTACTGTTAGTAATGGATGAGCACACTCTACATGCTTCAAATGTTTTGAAATGAAGTTTTATTCCCATTGTCCTGAGTAGCCCGGACCGACGGGGCTACTCGGGACAATCTTTATTTTGCGTCTGGCACCTTAGGAATAGCATATGGAATTTTTTTGACAATGCTATTCGATAGCCCTGGCAAAGAGCTATAAAATGAGCTTAAATTTGCTTATGAAATGTTTCATCATAAGAAGTTATTAACAGTTATTAACAAAAAAACAATCAAATCTGTCCCGAGTAGCCCCGGTTGACGGTACCCCTTCTTGCAGATATGGCTGCCATTTTATGGGGGGATGAGCTACGCAAAATCCGTCAGTCACATTTTTAAGATAAAACCTGTGTTCAACTTTTACATAAGAAAAATTTTTATTACAGCAAATTTTTTTTGGTACAGAACTTAGCAGTTCTGTACGGTGCTTTTCCAAAATCCCATTTTTCACACTTATTTTCAGGGATTTTTCGGACATAGTAAATGTATGCTTTCTTGACTTGCTTTTTGCTACATAGATAGAAAAAATGTTGAACTTTATGCCACTATTTTTAGTTTTGCAATATTTCAGTTAGTTTAGCTGTTACAACATTTCTATCCTGCCTGTTCCCCACTGTGCAGAGAAGGGATGAATATTGCAAGATCTTTGGCAATGCTACAGTAGCAAAATTTACACCTTCAGAAGATCTTGCCAACACATTTAGATTGAAATTCTCGCACTCAATATATTTGTCAGTCTTTCACCAACTATTCAGAAATAAGTAAGGTTTCCGGTACGTTGGATGGATCAGGATGCTGTGAAGCTTGTCCAGAAATCAGTTGCGATGAGTTCCCGCCAAAACAACAAATGTAAACAAGTTTATGATTGCATAGTTGCGGTCACATTAGAGCGGTCAGACTGCATCATCACATGTTCAGTTGACACTTGCTGTACAATCGGACTGTTTTTAGGATAAAATTAGTTATTTGGGGTAACACATGCATGCAAGTGATGCAACCTTGTAAATAAGTTCGTGGCTTGTAAATAGTTTTTCATTACTCAGCGTAAATGGTTTTTAATTAAAAATTACCAGGCAACTCATCTTGAAAATGGTTGGTGACGCTTTGGGATTAAAAACCCATATATTGACAACGCTGCTTCCACCCTCTGCACCCTGGACTGTCCCTTATTACCCCCTTTTGACAGTATTATAATATAAACGATAAACCTGTAATAAATTTGATATAGGGTAAACGCGGTATATTCCGACATCGTAGGTAATTCCGTCACTTCTCTAGTTTTTCCTTTATATTAAGCTTTGTTTTAGTTCCATGCGTTCATTCATGGTTGAAATGGTGACGTCATACATTTGCCTGTCGAAATACGGCAAAAACACTAGGTCTTGGCCATCTAGCGGGAAAATATTGAGATCCAAAGAG